AACCCACGGATTTCACGTTTATCCTTTAATTCTCTCCCTCATTCCTGGGGGTGGGGGAGGGGTAGTGACCGGCTGTGTGTGTGTGGGGTGGTTCAACCTAACCCACGACAGTGGGACTTGAGGGTCTGTCACCCATGTGCTGCCCATGGGTGAGGAGGCTTGGTGCACTGCTGCCTGCTCTTGTGGGATGGGAGTGAGCAGAAGCACTTTCTTCCTTGCAGCAAAGGGAGCATGCCGAGCGAAGGGACCAGCTACTGTGGAAGCGTGGCTTTGATGGGCGCGTTTGTAAATATCCAACAGTTGGCAAAGGCCTGGCCTGTGCCCTAGCCAGTCCTGGTAGCGCTGGTGCCTGAGATGCAGCACCAGTACTGAAGGTTTGAGGGAGAGTCAGTAGTTTTTGGTAGTACAGGAGTGGGTCCAGGAGAGCAGTATAGGGCAAGGATGCAGACATCTTTGGCACAGAGCTGGACAATGTTCTTGAAAGTGGAACAAGGGATTAATAGAAGGAACAGGGTGAAAGTAACAGTAGGAGCAGTTCTTCCTGGGTCCCAGGAAGGCCCTTAGGTGGGTCCTGCTGGGCCATTGAAATTGTCCCCCATGGAGCAATGGGAGTCACAGCTGCAGGTCCCTCCTAGGCAGGATTATTCACCTGCGCCCTGTCCTAAGTTCAGGCAATAAAACAGCCTGACTTGTGCCCTGTCAGGGAGTTAGTACTGGTTCTTGCTTCTGGGCTTTAATGGTGTCAATGGCTCTTTGTGTTGAGCAGGGACCAGCGCATCAGCCAGGATGTGGAGAGGTTCTGCAGGCAGCTCAGCTCCATGGCCAGCAAGCTCATCATCTCGCCCTTCACACTGGCCTACTACACATACCAGTGCTTCCACAGGTAAGGACCTAGCCTGGCCCTGCTTTCACGCCTCTTGCCTATGCTCTTTTTTGGAGCCCGGCACCTATGTTACAGCTCTGCAGATGGACGCTTGTACATGTGGGTGAGTGGTCTCTGCATTCCAAAGGGAATTCTGCCTTGAGGTTGCTGGGGTGTGTGGTGCTGGCCCCTAAACCTCTATGGAAGCCAAGAGAGGTGACAGCTGAGGGCTCTGACTGCTTGAGCCTGAGGGTGCTGGGGTATCCTTTCGCTTGGATTATTAGCTGACTTCTCTTTCTCCTCCTCTATAGCACAGGCTGGCTAGGCCCCGTGAGCATCTTTGGGTATTTCATCATTGGGACGATTGTCAACAAGGTATTGATGAGCCCGATTGTGTCAAAACTTGTGCAGCAGGAAAAACTGGAGGGAGATTTCAGGTGAGTCCCAGCAGAGCAGTATTTTCATTGCCTCTTGGCAGCTCCTGCGAAAGCTGCATTTTTGTCCCTGTTCAGTGCTATGTAAGGAACTATTTCTCTTGTCCGTGACCTTCCCCACCCTCAGAGAAACCTGCTTGCATAGTGTTGCCCCAAAGTCAGTGTACTGAGCACCCACCACCCCTTTCACTGCCCTGCATCATGGCAGTCAATGCCCTTGGTTCAGGCTCCTGGTTCAGGCTCCAGGCTGCTTGCCTGGTCATTGCTGTTGCTGATGCCTCTGCTAGGGCATTGGATATGTTGAAGAAAACTGCACGTGGAGCTTCCTTGGGTGCAGATGCAAGTTCAGTGAACCACATTTACTGACAGATCAGGTTTCTGCTTCACCACCACCTTTCTGAAATGCCCAAAACAACACAGTCTTTCCATATGCTCAGTAACTCATCTCCTCCCCTTCCTCTGCAGGGCTGGCTGGGTGTGTGGCAGGGGCTCTGCAGCTTTTCCTGGAGCTCAGGGCATCCAGGGACAGCAGCAGAAGGTGGTGTGGCATAGGGAGCCCAGACCAAGGCAGTTGGTTGTGGTGATTCTGTATAGTGGAGATGCTGGGCTAGCAAATGGGAAGCCCAAGGTCTGAGAAGATGTGCACAGAGAGTGGAATACCAAAAAAATGCACCACTGAGCTGGCCCAGAAAGATGTCACCTTGTACCAAGCCTTGGTCTCTGGTGCCTTTTTGAGCCTATAGAGTATTTCTGTCAAGAGAAGCCTCAGATCAGTCCTCTGACAGATACAAGATGAGTTTCCTCTAGCAAGGATGTTGGCTATATAATTCACTGGGCATTTGTGCAGAATCTTGATGATATTTTTTTGGGTTATCCAGGTTCAAGCACATGCAGATTCGTGTCAATGCGGAACCAGCTGCTTTTTACAGGTTAGTAGTGTTCATTTCTTTACGTCCTTGTAAGGATCCTCCCAGCTCAAGGCATCCTTGTTATATTCATGTATCCCAGAGGAGTCCAAGTCCTATTGCTGCAGCTGGAACTTTCTGCCCCCTCCATCCTGCTGCAGCATCATACAGCCCTTACACTCGTCTCCTTTGCATTCTGTGCGTCTGCAGAAACACTCCACAGCAGCTGGAGACAACTATTTTTTCTCTGCCTCCCTGCTAACATCCCCAGAGGCCTGATACAGATTCGGCGCTGGCTTAGAGACCATTGCTGATGTTTTGCCAGGTCCTTACCTGGAAGGTTGCTCAAGGTCTCATTGCATCTTGTCAGGATATTCTCCTGGGGACTTGTTGCAGCTTGCTTCTGGCCCTGTCTTGCTGCTGCTGATCTGCGTGTCTCCTGTGGGTATGCTAGCTGTTCCTGGCCTCCTTACCTCTGCTTGCTCCTCTAGGTCAGCCTGTGCCCTGACCCTCCCAACACTGTACTGCTACTCTGAGTTTGCTCAGTGCCATTTACCCCAGAGCTAAGCACACAGTCGGGAGCCCAGCAGCACCTCCAGTGCTTACTGATGCCCTGAAGTCTGTTGAGCTGCTGCTTGGAGCCTTTAAGGTGTTTCACAGAAATGTCTAGGACCCAGGAAAATAGCCACGATTTTACTGTAGCTTGTGTTGAGGTGCCTGGTTGGTAGCAGGAGGTCATTGCTCCTCTCTTGTCACGTGTCTGCCTTTGCCCCGCACGTTGTGAAATCACACTTCTTCCAGGAATTTAAGCAAGCACCAGCTGTCCTGTCTCTGGTCTTCCCTGCCTATGACCTCTGACTCCTTCATGCTGTAATGACTGAGCATTTGAAGTGTTGTGGTGTTGTCCCCAAAGTGGTTTGATTCAAAAATCACTGATTTCGTAAAGATTTGTATTGACAGGCATGAAACTCTGATTTAAATAACTGAAATCAATCTTGGTTTGCATTGGCAAGTTCGAGTTATTTCTTTGTGGACTGATTGATTCTTATTGGTTGATGATAGTTTTTCTTAATGGAGAAGATACTCTAATTATGTGCCCTTATTTAAGCTGCAGTACTTTTCCTCACAACTTTGAAGTTTTTTGTTCTATTACTAAGTAGAAAATGGAAAGTGTATTATTATACCAGAAAATGGAGTGTCTTACTTCAGTACAGTTTGTTAGCAGAAAAGCTTCGCCTTATGGGAAACTAGAATTTAATTGAATTGCACAAACCCAGGCGTTTTCATGGTATGAATCTTAATTAAAAATAAAGGAATTTTTTAAAAAGTTGCATTCCTAGAATCCTGCAAGAGGAGAAGCATGTAGCAAATGGCTGGTTTTGGTTGCCGGACTTCTCTAACATGTAGAAGCTGTTAGGTCTTGTCCTCTTCCAGCTGCCTAACCATTGTTTTGGTAAAGGAAGAAATAAAACCTGAGCACTGTCACCTTTTTACTTCTTTGGTTTCCAGGCCTTTGGCAAACTTGCTTTAAAAGTGAACTGAATGGGAGGAAAAGCCGAAACCAATACAGCAGTCTCTCCTCATCTGCAAAAGAAATAATAGCTCTGGTCCCCGGTGCCTTCCTTGCCTTTAACTCCTGTCCAAGGCTTTATCCTTTCCGGATACCCAGCAACACAGATTGCAGCTCGGTAGTTACCTGAGATGGGATTTAGGGCAGTAATGCCAAATTGAATTCTAACCAGATGCGTTTTTGAGAAAGAAAATGTATTTTTCCAAGAACTGAAAATCTTTAGAACTGAGACTCTTCAGAAATCTAAATTTGTGGGGTTTTGTGCACCTCTTGGCCCTATCTGCTCGGTCCCCAGTGACTCCCCGGTTGGGAGCATGGTGGCAGTGTGGGTGTGTGCTGGGCACAGGGATGTGTTGGGTGGCAGGAGCAACAGCTGCCGCGGCTGGTGGGAGTCTGGAGCGAGATGTGGAGCGCTCTCTGCATTTTGCCACCTGAGGGCAGCCCAGCTCTTGCGAAGGAGCAGAAGGAGCTGCCGCGCTTTCCGAAGGTGATGGCTTAGAGCTGAGATGTGCCTCCTTGCTACCTGCTCAGCCTGGCTGTAGGAGCATCCCCACTGGCTCAGGTGGTGTTCTAACCCCCATGCCGTGGGGATACCCCTGGGAAAGTGGAGACTGTGGGGCTGGGGTCACCTGTACTGAGGGCTACGCTGCTTGAGGCACATCCACATCCCACTCCTCTGGGGAGGGGTAGGGGAAGAGGCAGATTGGGGCTGCCAGCTCTGCAGGTGACGTTGGCTTGCCATCACCTCCTGAGCTCACCTCTGCACTCTCCTTTCTAGCTTCAGCTGTGTAGCAGTGCAGTCCCTCTCTTCCAGCCAGGTTCTGCTTGGAAAGTGTGTGTGACTTTGAGTGTGCATTGCTCCAGGCCAGGGCTTGTCTGATGGTGTCTGGCATTGCCTCACCTCCTGCTGTATGAAACAGCAACACCCACGGGCTCTGTGAGAGACTTGCAGGGCTGCTTGTTTCAGTGAGTTTCTCAGTGAAGATGCCTTCAGGAAGGAGCTCATGACTGTTCAGTTCTGCTCAACACAGAGCTGTCGCTTGGAGGCTGTGGTGCCAGACCCTTTCCAAGGCTCAGTCCTAAAACCTGTGCTTTGACCACATCGCAGTGCTGCTGGAACATCTGGCATGTTGCAATCTTTATTTTACAGGGCTGGGCGAGTGGAGCACATGCGCACGGACCGGAGGCTGCAGAGCCTGCTGCAGACCCAGAGGGAGCTGATAGGCAAGGAGCTGTGGCTATACAGTGAGTGGGGAGTTTGAAGGGTGAACTGGGACATGTGGTAGCTCCGTTGCAGTGGCCTGCAGGCTGGGGAACTGGACTGCTGGAGCAGCAGTGCTGGGTTTTCCTCTTGCTGGTGCATGGTGCTGAGAGTGAACAGAGGGTGCTTCCTGCAGTCCTAAACAGCAGTACTGAATGGGAATCCTGTTGCGAAAAAGTCTGGTAGACAGCAAAGTTGTGGAGGAATCAGCTAAGTCAGAGAATGCAAGCACCAAAAGAGCAATCGGCAGGAATCTGTGTTTTTTTTGTGGGGCAGGTGTTCAATGTCCAGGAAGAGAGGGAAGAGCTTGAGCTGTGGAGAAGAAGACGACTCTGTATATGTGGTTGGGATCTGTGGAGACTTCTTTCCTGTAGAGCCTGTCCCTTGAGCATAGTTGTCCCCTGAAAATCTCCCTTCTCTCATTGTCACTGGGTCCAGGTTTGAGTGTTAAACGACCACTATCAAGACAGTTCTTCCTCGTCTCACCAGCATAGTGAGCTTCTGAGCAGCGTAAGGGACGGATAGCCCTGAACACTCATGTCTGTAGGTGTTTGGGGTCTTAAGTCTTTCTGCCTGTCCTGTGCTCTAAGACAGACTTTGTGGCCAACCATCTTGCCCCAGAGCTTCCTTTTTGCCCTCCTTTCTATTTTTTGGGAGTCAGCCAGGCTGTTGAAGAGTAGTAACAAGCAGGCAAAGTGGCTTTTGCCCTGTGATGGTTCCTGAGCTGTGTGCCTGGATCATGTTTCTCTGCTTAGGGGCCTGCCCCAAAGTGCTTTTTGCTTGGCAAATGAATTTTCACCCTGATGCTCGTGCTATCCTGCAAAATGGGTTCTTCTGCTCTGGTGCATGGTGAAGGGCTGAGGCAAGACCATGGGTTGTTTTCTGCCTGAACTCATGGGCTGCGCTTGGGCCTGGCTGAGACAGAGGTTCCTACCCCAATTCACTGTCTTCTCTCATTGTGATTCTGCCCAGTTGGGATCAACACCTTTGACTACCTGGGCAGCATCCTGAGCTACGTGGTCATTGCCATTCCCATCTTTTCTGGGGTCTACAGTGGCCTGAGTCCAACAGAGCTCAGCGCCCTGGTCAGCAAGGTGAGCTACCGGTGATCTCCCAGACCCTAATGTGGAGGGTGAGCGGGCGCTGAGGATGGACCTTGATGACATTGGGGCTGGATAACCTACAGCAACTGACCTTCAGGTTAGACTGTCCCTTCCCTTGGTGACATGGAAATGGGAGCTTGGAGCCAGCTGGTATATGATTAATCTGGGCATGAGAGCTGTCAAGGACACATCTACATAAATGTTTCCTAGCTCAGACCTCTTGTGTCTAAAAAGCAGGTCAGAAAGCCTCTGCCTTTCAGTCTTGTGGGTGGGGATTAGGTCCACACAGTGCTGCAGAAGCAGGTTATGCCCTGGGCTGTTGCCCATGGTGAGCCTGGTCCCCTGTGAGACTGAGCTGGCTTGCGTTTGCCTGCCAGGCTGCTGGAGAGGAGCCTTCCTGGCCTGACTCATTCCCAGATACTCAAAACTGGCTTGTGATAGAGAATGCAGAGCTAAAAATAGCTAAGCAGGCACTGCAGGCTGAGACACTCTGCTCTGAGCCATGTATGGTGCCAGGGCAGGGCTGGTGGCATGGATCTGCATGACTTAGATGGGGCAAGTGTACTGGGCTCTGGGCTGGCCAGCAGACACTCTGCACACACCATCCCTGGGTGGCAGGAGCTATGTACCCCTGGCCAGAACTGTACTAAGCAGGGAAGCCCTGCTCCATCTGAGTATGGCCATCTTCTCCTTCACTCTTACTGCCCTGGGTGACTTCTCAGCCCTTCATTAATCCTGCTCTAAACTCCTTGGCTGCCTCCTCGCAGCCATGGAGGAAAGGGCAGTGCCCCAGCTCAGTGCTGACCCTTGCTCTGGCATGCGATTTTTCCCCAGAATGCCTTTGTTTCCATCTACCTCATCAGCTGCTTCAGCCAGCTCATAGATCTCTCCAGCACCGTGACCGATGTAGCTGGCTACACGCACAGGTGAGCTTCTCTGCAAGCAGGTCTCTGCAGGAGAGGGAAGTGTGGGACAAGACTCTTTGCCCAGGTCCGTGCTAAATATGTAAGAAACCCAGTCTCTTGTGAGCAAGCATGGACAAGGTTGGATGTTGTGAAGAGGCTTCTGGAGTTGTCCCTGACATTCTTTAAATCTCTTGGTTGTCCAGGATTGGTGAACTGCAGGAAACCCTACTGAGCCTTGGTAGAAAAAAAGATGATAACTACTCAGAAGCCAAAGCCAGCTGGGATTTGGATGGGTGAGTCTCCCCTCAGCAGCTGGCTGGCTTGCAGCTTAGGTGCCAGAGCGTGGGGCTGTTACGGGATGGAGGTGGCCCTTGGTGTCACAGCCTGTTGCATGCAGTTGGTTGGAGCAGGCACTGCTCGCTGTAATCTGTTGTTCCTGGGTGTGTGGGGCAGGACTGCTGTCACAGAGGCACAGGAGGTTTAAGGTGCCTGATCTTTGCCAGTCTCAGCATGATGGCTTACCCCCAGATCTCTCCTCCTTTGTCTTGATGGTGACACAGCAGCCATTCTGAGGAAGACCCAATGTCAAGCGACACAGCTTTCCTTCTGGAGCGAGTGACGCTCTCGGTGCCGTCCACTGGCAAGCTGCTCATCAAGGACCTGAACCTCAGGATCTCCCAAGGAAACAGCATGATGATTGTGGGGAACACTGGCACGGGGAAGACATCTCTCCTGAGGGTCCTCGGAGGACTGTGGGAGAGCACACGGGGTAAAGGCTGCTGCTGGCCTCTGCCTTCTCTTTCTCAACCAGGGCTGCCCTGAGTTTGGTGGCAGTGTGGGATTGTGAGGCCAGTGCCACCTTGTGATGGTGAATGTGTCGCTGACGTGTTGGAGCCACCCATCTCTCTGTTGCATACTCTACTCTGGCTCTCATTGCTTTGCCCCGTGTTGCGAATCTACCTTTTCTGGGATTCGTTGATTACTTCATGGGGCAGGACTGCATAGGGGTGGTGGGGACTTGGTGGCTGGCACAGCAGGCTTGGCATGAGTGTGTCTCTGTGCAGGGAGCATCAAGATGCTGACCTGCTTCGGCCCCCGGGGAGTGATGTTCCTGCCGCAGCGGCCCTTCTTCACCGATGGAAGCCTGCGCGAGCAGGTGAGCCCAGGGACTGTCTCTGCTCTGGCCCCAGCTCTGCCCCCAACTCTGCCCCCAGCTGTGGTCGTGCCCCATGAACCCGAGTGCTGCAGAAAGGCCTGCAAAAGGGAGGGTGCCTGTGACTGCTCCTTCCCTCGAGCCTGAGTTCATGCCACCATCGTGTGTCTCTGATGGTCTGTGTCCAGCTCCCTCTGACATGGCTTCTTTTGCTCTGTTAAACAGGTAATCTATCCCCTGAAGGAAATTTACCCAGTTTCAGGTAGGTGGAAATTCATCAGAGCAATCCTGTGGTGTCACCTCCCTGTCCTGTACCCAGTGCTGCTTCTCCCCTACCACACACCATCAGGAGTGCTCGTCTCTTTCACTAATGTTGCGCTCTGCTTTTCCCTGAAAGATTTACCTCACTGTAGGTTAAGGTCAGCTCTACATTCCCTCCCAAAAGGGAGGGAACGTCCTCTCTCAATGCAGTGAGGACAACCTGACCATACTCTGCATGTTGTGCTAGACATACGTATATGTTGAGGCACCTTGCTGTTGGGATACGTCTGATCTGTCTGGTACAACCTACCTTTGGGCAAGCTATGTTTGCCTTCATCTTGTTTTCCATCCACCTCCATCTTTCACTGCTCCTGTTTTTCAAATGATGACCTAGCGCCTTGTGTGCTGTTGAGGTCAGACCACATGGACCCTTTCTCTCCCCTGTCCTCTTTGCAAGCCAGACCACAAGTGGTCTGCTGCAGTTTGCAGATGTCCATGTTTAAGTTTCTGTCTGAGTGAAGCAGTGTTATGCGCTGCTTTCAAACACCTGGGAGTCGCAGTCTTGCAGAAAGTAACTGCAGCCATCAGCTACTGTTGTGACTCTTCAGCAGGTTCAGAGAGGTCCATGGCAGATACACAGCCCTTCTGCTCAGCTTCCATAGCTGCTGACTGTATCAGCTTAAGGGTATGTTCTGCTCCGCAGCTAGTTCACCCTGAGGTTTTTCCATCCCATGGAGGATCCTTTTGCTGGCTGTTACTCAAGCCTTGTTCCCATGACTCCACCACCTGCAGTGTACAATAAGCAGTCAGCCATAGGAGAGTGGCTGGTGGGCAGGGCCTTGGCAACTGAAGCCTGGATCCTTGTGTTCTGGCTGTGTCTGACTGTGACCATGGACTGAGCCAAGTCTCAGGTGTACCTATGGAGCTCAGCTACCTCCTGGCATGCTGCTCACAGGCATGGTTAACATTTTTAAGGAAGGTCAGTCTTCGGGAGCTTTCTGTGCCAAAGCTCGGGACCTAATATATTTAAGTGGTTGAGTCAGCTACACTGGACCTCAGGAGATCCCCCAATCCTTCCCTCCTGCCCCACCAACTCCTCCTTGCAGGTATGGCCTCAGCACACATTGCCTCTGCTTATGCTTTGCTGCTTTCTCCCCTAGGTTCTGCAGATGATGAGAGAATTGTGCGATTCCTGGAGCTGGCTGGGCTGGTGAGTCCCCAGCAGTGCTGCTGCTTTCTTTCCTGGTGCTGCCACTGAGGGAAGAAGGGATGAGGATGTTTTGTGGCAGCACAGCATGACCATGTGCTGGACACATGTGGGGACATTGTCTGCAGCTGGGGCAGGCAGAGGAGGAGGGATATGGAGCAACTTCAGCTCAAGCGGGAAAAGAGGGAGTAGCAGGGAGGGGGTGGTTATGCCCTGGGCCCTGGAATGACAGGGTTGGGGACTGTGTTCACCAGTCTGCTGTGCTTTCTGCAGACTGATTTGCTGGCGAGGGCTGGAGGACTGGATGAGCAGGTGGACTGGAACTGGTAAGGGAACTCGCTGTCTGTGTGAATTTAGGTGATCCCTCTGGGTGGGGAACACTTCTAAGCATATGCCTCTTGCTGCTGGACTTAGGAACCTCGGTGCCCAGCTGTGTCCTGTGGGAGGTGCGCAGTATACAGGGACAAAGCATCAATGCCAACTATCACCAGCCGTGCTGCTCTGCAGGCAGCTGGCTGTGCACAGGGCTGCAGAGCCAGTCCCACTGTGGAGGGGAACACTCGGGAAGCTGCTTGCTGGGCTCTCCGATATCAGCAAGCATAAGCTCTTCAGCAAACAAACTCTTTTTGTTGAAGGAGATTTTGAATCTTGACTCTGGTCTAGGTATGACATCCTGTCCCCAGGGGAGATGCAGAGGCTCTCGTTTGCACGGCTCTTCTACCTCCAGCCAAAATACGCAGGTGAGTTAGTGACTGTGTAAGAAAAGAGAGGGGGGGAGAAAAAGGCAAGGTCTTTTATGTAAAGAGAAGCTGGTACAGAGACAGCTCATGAAATCCCTTTGCTAGGAACATTCTTTGTCTTGGCCATGATTTTAGCAGTGTAGCACACAGAGGATTCAGGGGTGAAAGCCTTTCATTATCTGTGTGGAGGGTGGTAGATCAAGAGGCTGTTGGAGGACTTGTCATGAGGATGGGTGTGGGTGAACAGAGCCACTGTCGGAGTAGCCACATGTAAGTACCTCTCTTCCCCTGAAGCCCGCGGCATGGCTTGGCGCTGTATGGGCAGAAGGAACCTGTGGATTGCAAACTAAAAGCTGTTTAGATGACGTAAAACAAATTTATCTGTTCCAGATCTATAGTGTTTACCCTTAACTGACAGGAAGGTGCCTCAGACCGTCCTGACTGCTCCAGGTGGGGTCTGGGCTGGAGGGGGGCACAGGCTGGCGCAAAAAAAAACACGTGGCCTGCCTTGAGAAGGTCGCATCTTGACTTTAACAATGGTGGGGACGAGGCAGTGGCTGGCAGCCTTTGAGGGAGAGGAATGAGGTGAATGGCACTGTTTGAGTGGATTCGAAGACTTGTGGGGAAGGGCAGCTTTCCTGGTTGACTGACACCAGCTATGTCAGAGGAAAATCAAAGTCCTTAGGCTTCTCCTCACTTGCCTTCTGCAGATGCTTTTGGTGAACTCTGGTTAATAATGTGAAATATTCTCTGCAGTTGCTGCTCTTTTGCCTAGGGGGAGATGACTGGTCGGGAGAGGGTTTGTGGGTTTTAACAACTTTTCTCTCAGTGCTAGATGAAGCCACCAGTGCCCTGACAGAAGAGGTGGAGCATGAACTGTACCGTGTGTGCCTTCAGCTGGGCATGACGCTGATCAGCGTGGGACACAGGGCCAGCCTGGAAAAGGTGAGGTGGGGAGACAGCACTCCAGGCCTCCCTGGTGGTGGCAAGACAGTGGAGGTAGAGAGGGTCCCTGGTCAGCAAAGGGGAGTGACTAAGGCTGGAGAGCCTCACTGTGGGAGGACATGTCCTCGTAGAGACATCCCTCAGTCGTCGTGTTCAATTGTAGTTCCACAGCTGGATTTTGAAACTTCATGGAGAGGGAAGATGGGAGCTCATTCGATGCGAGAAGATGAAGCGACTCCCAGCTGGAGAAGTATGCTGAAAAACACACCATTGTCTGGCCAGCCGCAAAACCTGCACACGTGTGGGAGAGCTCTGAATAGGAGACATGGAGCTGCTGAGCCAGCAGCTGTCAACAAAGGATTCATCCAGTGCCAAACCAGTTCTGGATTTTTCTGATAGACACAGAGCCAAGTCTGAACTCATGGTGTGAGGTTCTGCCAGAAGCAGACGTCTATGCCATCCTTCTCCCAGCCCCCTTCTCCTTCCTCTCTGCCTCTCATGGGGGAAACGGCTAAGCTGCTAGGCTGCCCAAAGAGAAGATCCTGCCTCATGGGGCTTGTAGAAGCAATGGCCAGAGGAACCTCTGCTTGTCCAGGATTCAGTGGTGCGAGGCTAGGAGGCAGCCTCCTGTTCTGCCCTCTATGCCTCCCTGGGACCTCTGTCTCTTTGATATGCAGCTCTGCAGAACAGGCTTCTCTACCTGTGGCTCTATTGAGGGTTGTGCTCCCCAGCAGGAGCCAAGGGATGCCCTGTAAGGGGAGGAGAATGCTGGCAAAGAAAAGGATATGTCTCTGCTCTCCTTATGACACAGGATTGTGGGTTAAAGGAACATTTTTGTATTAAAATCTGGGGCCTGTTTTCCAACGATATTTATGGAGAAGAGTCAGTATTTGTTAACCAGACTGCTGCATCTTTTCTTTCTGGGGTTTGCTTTGGAGGAGATGCTTGTGTCTTGGCAATGGTCCTGGCTACAGTATTGCCGAAGAGCAGAGCAAGGGTAGGAGTAATATATCTATCCAGAGCTGGGTGTCCTGCCCTGCTGCTACCTCCATAGCTACTGGAAGGCACAAGGAACCCCAAGGAGGGCTTTTGGCCCTCTGCTCTTGGGGGGGGGAAACAGAGCTTGCCTCCCTTTACTGTTCTGTCTATGATGAGTCATGTTCTCTCCCCTGCCTCCCACGGGTGTGTGGAGACAGAGGTTTTGAGGGTCTCTGTGTTGTGGAGAGGTCATTCTCAGACTGCAGTGGAGGTACAGTCTCTGAGCACTTACTGGCCACCAGGGACATTTCTAGACGTGGCCCCCATTCTGCAGTGGAGGAGCAGGAGGTGGCTGCTGGCAGAGCCCAGCTAGCAGCTCTTCTGCCCCTCCACCAAGCGCTTGTGTCCCTCTATGATCTGCTGCACAGCTTCATGGTCATCTAGGGTGGTTACGTCCCCGAGCTCACTGGCCTTGTCCTCCACAATTTTCCGTAGCACCCGACGCATAATCTTCCCTGAGCGTGTCTTGGGCAGTCGGTGTGTGACCTGTGACAGGGAGGCGCAGAGCTAAGGCTGAGGGAAAAGGGTTGGCCAGGCTGCCAGAGAGCAGGTGTTGGACCAGCCAGCATGTGTTACCTGAATGTACTCTGGAGCTGCATACTTGGCAATCTTCTTTGAGATCATGTCCCGTAGCTCAGCAGCGAGAGTCTCCTGTGTGTAGCCACTGTCCTTCTTCAGCACAACAAACACATAGGCTCCTGGCAGAAGGACCACCAGGTTACTGAGGACCGTGAGAGCCTGCCTGGACCTAGAGCCAGGAGAAGTCTCTCTCTGCTGGTAGCCTCAGGGGTTGCTCTACAGACTGAGCTGTAAGTGCTTTTGGCCATGCTGCTGCTGCTGCTGCTGCTGGTCTCGTGTAGGTTGTGATGTCTGTGCTGAGGTCCCCACTAACATGCTGTACGACATTGGCACAGCATTGCTACCAGGGATTGGTGTGACAGTGCCACTTCCCACCACAATGCAATAGCCCTGGGAGAGACGTTTAAAGGCAGGAAAGCAAGCGTCTCACCTTCTCCCTTGATCTCATGTGGGTAGCCGATGACAGCAGATTCTGCCACTGCCATGTGGTGATTCTGGAAGAGAAGAGGGCTGGGGTTTGGCTCCGTGCTTTCGGCAGGCTGGTTGCCACCTGGGAGCTGCCCTGGCCTGGCCTGGCTGCTGCAGCCCATGGTAATGCAGAGAGATAAGGAAGGGTCTCCGATGGCCCACAGCGCTTTTTCCTTCTTGCCTCAGCAGGTCTGTCTGCAAACACAAGTCTTCCCCCGTGCCCCTAGCTGCTTTAGGCTTGCACTTTCTAGACTCAGTTCTGTGCCTCCAGGTTGCTCCAGCAGGTCCCACGATCTTTACTGGCCCACGGATGGCTTTACCTCCCCCCCACACCTCTTACCACAACATCTTCCACCTCTGCAGTGCCCAGCCGGTGCCCGCTGATGTTAATGATGTCGTCCAGCCGTCCTGTCAGCTGGTAGTAGCCCTCACTGGTACGATATGCGCCATCCCCGGTGAAGAAGAACCCTGCAGTGGCCAGACCCGTGCCGTGGTCACTTGTTGCCGTGAGCATGTGAGCTGCTCGCCAGCCACATTCTCACCTTGCCCCCTGCTCCTCTCTGTTGGCACCAGGGCTCATGTACTCTGCTTCTTCCTCTCAGCTGCTCAGGGTGAAGGTGCCTACCTTCCCTGTTAGTCTTCTGCCTCTGTTGGTACCTGCACCATCACTGGGCTGCTTCCCTCGTTCTGCAGTGTGCTGGCTAATGCCTGTCATACCTCGTAGCCACAAGCTGGGAGCACTTTGCCCTAGTGCAGCTGCCTGTGGTCCTGCTGCTTCACCCCTTTGCTTCACATTGAGACACTCTCTTGGGCTTGCTCAGTCCCTCTGGATGAGTGACAAGAACCAACAGGGTTTGCAAGAGATGCGTCAAGAGGCCTCTGAGCTCAAGGGAGTTGGGGCAGAAGGGAGAATCTGCTGCCCTAAAACTACATGTGATCCCATGGGGAATGTGGGTGAGAGACCCATTGCCGTGGCATTGATGAGGTCTCAGGCAGGGGGAGATGAAGGGCCTCAACACTGTGGAGAGTCTGTAGAATGAAGCAATAGTGCCAGCTCTCCTGAGTCCTGCCTCCGTGCAGAAAGCCAGCAGGCAGACCCAACTGTACCCAACCAAGCACCTCGGCAGTGGCCTGCTACGCATTTTCCTTACCTGGATAAGGAGTCAGATAGGTTTCCAGAAATCTCTTGTGGTCATTGTAAATGGTTCGTGCCATACCCGGCCAGGCTTGTGAGATGCAAAGGGCTCCAGAGATGTTGTTTTCCTGAAGGACGTTTCCCTGTGAAATAGTGACCTTTTAGTAACCATGGCTGAGGGTACTTGGGATGTTTAGTCTTTGTCTATTTAACAGCCCAGTGATGGAAACGTCAGGGAATGCAATGAGGAGAGTCCCATGCCCCTGATTGCAAGGGGACAGACTCAGACTCTCCCAGCAGATGCCTACCATGGTGGGACGCAGGGCCCCTCCAGGGAGGCCGGCTGTCCCTGCCCAGCTACCTCAGCTTGGAGGGACATATGCCAGGGAGCCTAAGCACAACCCGTCTTTTCAGGACAGAGTGAGCTAGAAAATGTCTCAACTTCTGCACTAGTTGGAAGAACAACTTCACTTAGTCCCTTTCTGGTAAAGATGGTTGCAGTCTAGCAGAGGTGAGCAGGAAAGACATGCTTACAAATCTCCGCTCTCGTCAGCAAGTACACCCTGCAAGCACCTGGGGGAATGTGGGCTTAGCCAGTACCTGGGCTGCAGGTTATAAATGTACCTTGTTGTCCAGGAGGGAGGGGCTGATCCCAAAAAAGGGTCTCATAGCCATGCCTGGAAGGATTTCAGCTCCAGGATTAGAAGGACGGGGTGAGATACAGATGCCTCCTGTTTCTGAAGCAAAAGAAACTGTAATGCTCATCAAAGTCAGGGACAAGAGGAAAGCCAGGTAGAATCTCTTGGCCAGCAGCCTTTGTCCTGGCCCTCACTGCACCCTGCTGGACCGCAGGCTGGGGCCAGGTTTGCCAGAGAGCTGGGGAAGGCTCTTTGCAGAAGGATGATCCTGCTTATTTAGTTCAGCAGAGATCTCCATACCATCAACTCCCCTGTGTTTCTCTGCATTAGCTTTAAAGGCCATTTCTCTCTTTCCTGTTTTGGTGCCCCTAGCTCCTTATGACCATTGCTCATACAAAAGTGTCAGTAACAACTGTTCCCACTTGGCCAGCAAAGCAGCAGGTTGCTCCTAAAGCCTGGGAGAGCAGAAGCTGGAAGAAGCGGTCATACGCATCTCACCGGTTTGCCACCATGTGTCCACTACTGGGCACCGTGTCTCACCGACCACACGGAAGTACCACTCCCACGCCTCCCTGTTGATGGGTTCCCCCACTGCAAAGGGAAAGACAAGGGGACAATGCCAAAAGATCAGGTCAAAGACACAGCTTCCCAGGGCCTGCTCAGAGAGCCACCACCAAAGAGTGCAGTCTTCCAACTTCCTGCTCTCATGTGCTGCTGCTCTTGGCATTTGTGGGAAGAGGCACAACCAGGTGCCCAAGGATTTGCTGCTCCAGCCCATGCCACCAGCAGTTACCTGAGCCGAGCACTTTGAGAGAAGAGCGGTTGTACTTCTTCACCCATTCATCACCATATCTCAGGAGCAGGCGGATGGCAGTGGGTGCCCCGTAGAACTGGTTAATTTTTAACCTTTCCACGGTTTCCCAGTAGCGGCCTGGAATGGAAACAAGGCCAGTAACCACCCACACAGGTCCTCCCAGCCTGAGACCAAGACAGAGGGAGAGGAGGTGAGAGCAAGGGCTCTCTAGCAGTGCCTGAACGCTCAGCCAACCTAATCACAAGCTGGGAAGGACTAAAGAAGTCTAGGAGCAGCAGCAGCCCCTTTTCCTCCACATCACCTAGTTCTGCTACTGTCTGTGCTGCAGGGAGGGGCAGGGAGAAACAGCTTCACCCCTGGAGAAGCAGCAGTGGCTTCCTAACCAGAGGAAAAGACTCTTCCCCTCAGAGCCCTTCATGGGCACAGCCCGCAGTCTGCTCCTGTGGCAGCAGAACCATGGCTGCCTGTGTCCTGGCATCAAGCTGCCAGCTCCCTGCCTGCTGTGGGTCTTGCAGGGTGGCTGTGGCATCTCCCAGCTCCCCTGAGACACCTTCTCACTCACCAGGGTTGGGATGGACAGGAGTGCT